GTAAGTGGATATTGCGGCTCTGAGACATCTACACCTTTCCGCGATTAAAAATTAACATGTTGATGCGTTGTCACCCAAGGACTATGATGGAAAGCCACGTTACCAATAACAATCGTCTTAGGAAGTACACACTATACGAAATATAGCGTTGTTTTACTGTATCCTACTGGTATTATAGGCTATACTGCGTATGATTATTATTTATACCTAGATATCAGGGACAAAAACCTTCTATTCAGTGATGAAAAGAACATTGAATATTTAAATTTGTTATTCACGATTTTCTACACTCATTAACAAATTTAGAGTAACGGCAAAAAAAGGTTTAATAACTCCTGCGGTAATTGCAGTGCGTATCGACCACAAACATTAGTAAATGCCATTAAAAGAAGAAAGTTTTGGAACGTTTTTTTTTACGAATTTCATTTGTTTTATGTAACTATTGCGTAACACCACAGAATAAATAATAGTTCAAGAAAGTAATATTGCGTTCTTTCATGATGCGAAAAACTGCAAACTTTTGAATTTGAGTTTGAATTTAGGTTTTGTTTAAGTTTTTGCCTGCTTGTTTATCGTGTTAAGTGTGAATTGTTACTGCAAATAAACTGAGAATTCCAGATCTAAACGCCAATCAAGTTGTTAGGGCTCTTACTCTAATTGAAACTGGGAACACCTACAAATATGTGTCCTAAATGTTAGGAGTATCAAAATCAGTACTACATCGAGTTGTCGAGAGGTATTGGCAGACCAGACAGTATACTCGCAGGATAGGAACGTAAATATAAAACTGTGACCAGAGAAGAGCGGTTCATCGTTACCAGTGTGATTAGAAACCAGACCTTAACTTCTTCTGAGGTAAGAACAAAGCTCTAAGAAGTTAGAGGGCTTACAGTAAGCACAAAAACTGTGAGAAAAAGACTGAAATTGGCCGGAATAAATTCACACTTGGCTGCTAGAGGCTTCTAGACCCTTCTTGCCACATCGAGTAGCTTGAGTTAATTTTGCTCGTAATCACTAAAGTTGTAATGACGAAGTTTGGAGTCCAGTTCTATTGATGAGTCCAGATTTTTCCAGATGCCGGATGATAGAAAGAATAAATGAATGGAGACGTTCGGGAGAGAGGTACGCTCAGTGCAACATCATTTTTTTAAAAGAATATTAACAATGCTATAAACATTACTAATATTCCCCTTAACCACTCGTGGTAAGCTTAAATTGCTTGTGTTACGAGTTGTTCACGTCAGTAGTCGAATAACGGATTCGAACCCACGACCTTTTTGAGTTCGCGGTCCGCGTCCTGCCATTAGGCTACTGTCGCTTTAAATCATTGGAAAAGAGACATATGGTGAAGAGTCAATAATGGTGTGGGGAGGTATTATGGGAACATGTACGGAGCTCCGCATCGTTGAGAATCGGTCACAATGTAACTGAGATTTTGGAAGAGAATGTAGTTCCATTTGCCCTTTTATAGGAGATAGATTTGTTTTCATGCATGATAATGCACGTCCGATACTGCGGCTGTAGTTGTCGAATACCTTCGAAACGTTGAAATCAATGCTAGAGGTGGCTAGTGCGCTCGCCCGACTTTAACCCCGTAGCATATAGCATGTATGGGAAAAACAAATACAAAAAAAATCTTTTCTTCTTAATTTGCTTAACTTCTGTCATTTGATCGTTTGTTTGTCTACGTATGCAATTTTAAATTAAAGAATAATAAGCAAAATCCAAATTAATAGAAAGAAAGAAAACAAGACATTTATTCACTGATAATATACACCACATCATATAAATAAATAAAAAAAAATATAACATATAGCAGTTTAAGACATATAGCAGTTTGCAAGTGATGGGGTAAGTATCGAGCCAATGAAAAGGTTATGACTCAGCATAATGCTGCAGGACTGATGATTCTGTCATAACCAACGAACCGCCTGTTTGTGGTTTTGAAATATATTTTATATATACTTTTATAAATTAAAATATTTCTGTGCCTCATAAATATGTACATTTAGAGATAGTAATAAACTTAATAGTCACAAATATCCATGATAATTAGTTTTATTATTTAAAGACAGTAACAATCGCAATTTTCACAAATTTCCACGGTGATTAGTTTTATATACACTTTTATGCGTTGCTCTTTATTTGTTGAGTATAGTTGAAAAGAAAGAAGTTTTAACAAAAATCCAACACAGAGACAATTGCCAACTTTACTGTTCTGGAAGCAATGCATTAAGTAGTTAGAAAGAAAAACTAGAAAAAGGACAATCAATTATAAGAAACAAGTAAGAAAAAAGTAACAATTGGAAGATTTATGCCATTGATAAAATATTTTTTCAGTCCACCTACGTTTTTACGTGGTAGAGTCATGCTGCAGCTATATTAACTGTATAGTTGTAGCACGAATGGGTCGGCTCGACCGGGGAAGGACCACGCTCTCACAGAATATCAGCGTCAAATAGCAGCTTAATGCTGCTGTGTTTCGTATGGTGAGTGTAGAGAACCGGAGTCAGTTTTTACTGGAAAAGGGGCATTCCACCTCAGTCCTCAAGGCTGACAACGCATCTTCATTTTGATTCGCAAACGAGGATAGATGTAGATGTCTATGGGCCACAGCAACCACTTACCATCAGGTGGACTGTGTGCTCGCTTGTCATCCTTTTCCTATAAAAATAAAATTATAGCCAAAGGAATACGCTGCAACAAGTGCATATTATTATTTTCTTTACTTTGAGTTACGTTAGAAGCTGAAAAACCTGAATGAAGTATCAGATTAAAACAATTATGATCAATCTTCTGTACCCCGGAAGTTTTGATATGAGGTTCAGTCTGTGTGAATTATTCAAATCTCTCTCCACTAGATGGAGTGACGATTCGGTAAGACATACAGGAATTTGATGGATGCAGATGGCTCAAGACCGTGCTTTATGTCATTCCTTGGCGGAGGACTATATTCGGCAGTGGGCTTGTGAAGAGCTGTAGTGAGTGAATGAATAATTAATCAGGATAATATCCCCCCCCCCCACCCGCTGCACAAAAAATTATATAATATTTTATGTTAAGTATATTATTAGACAATAGTTGAAAGCTTTTGTTTTTCGTTCGTTAAGCCTTTCCCTGGTAATTGTGAGCATTTAGGTAAGTGCATTTTGACTCACTTTTCGAATTTATAATAGCAATCAAAGAAATTTATCGATTTAGGCTCTTCTTGGTATAAAGGTGACCCCGCCATCTTTCGCATAACGATTAATGGTAGTGGTATTAGGCCGTTAGTTGGTGAATCACTTTTAATTTCGTATTGTATCGGTAGTGTGACCTTCTTTATAATTAATTTAAATTCAACAGGTCCATTAATACACAGTAAACATTCTCTATCAATTCCAGGCAATCAGGACAAATGCTAATAAGAAATAAATTTGACGGACAGAAAAGAAATTAACGGTCTAATATTAAAACCAAAAAAAAATTGAAAACTTGTAGTTGTAAATAAGGGAACATGGATAATCTATTAAGAAATACCAGTAAAGTCATCTGTGTCAGACCGTGAGAATCAATCGAGAAATCGGCAGACGGCAGATTGGTTCACCAGATTACAGTCATCAGAGGGAGTAGAAAGTTCTTATATATGAAAATTTTAAAGCCACCAACTTTATATATTATTTCAGTAACATTAATGAATCAGTTGAACCGGAGAAAAACTAAGCACCTGCATTTCAAGCATTGATTTAAACAGTCCTTAAAACATAAATTAACCATCAGTGGTTGTTGGTTTAAATTCCAAATACATCAGATTTATGTTGTTATTTTATGGTGAGATTAAAATTAGTAAACCCTTATGTGCGCATCACGGAAAACTTCTGGATAGATTTTCATTAAGCTTTCTAAGTTTTATTACTTAACACTTGGCCCTTATCTAAAAAAAATATTACGATATCTTAATTTAATATAAAGTTATTAAAATTTTGAGAACGCGGACGAAGTCGCGGGTATCAGCTGGTACAGATAATATAAACGATAATGTAACTTGTAATGATATAGATACCATATATGTACATGTAAGACCTTTATTTTATAAATTTAATATGTCTTTACTCATAAACAATGAATCTTCATGCCAAGTATTGTTACGAGTATATTAGACTTAGAATCGTATTGACCGGTCGGGTCGACCCATTCCTGCTGATGTCAATATACTTATTTTATAGAATAAGCGTGATAAACGAGCACACAGTCCACCTGATGGTAAGTGGATGCTGTGGCCCATATATCTACATTTATCCTCCTTTAGGAATCAAAACGCAGATGCGTTGTCACCCCTGCGGACTAAGATGGAATGCCTCGTTTCCAGTAAAAAAGGGTCTCCGGATCTCTACACTCACCATACGAAACACAGCAGTGTTAAGCTGCTATTTTATGCTGGTATTCCGTCATCATACTGCAGAAGCATGGCTCTACCACGTACCGAGACTGCATTGATTTGCATTTCTTATCAATAGCCTTTTGACATTTCTAATATATTTTGAACGGTCTATAACATTTAGCGACGTCCGCCAGCGTGCGAGCACTACACACTTTACTAGCATCAGTATTACTTCTAAATGTTACCAGCCTGTGAAATTTTGCGTTAGAGTTTTTGGATATCAGGAACAGAGGTCTGCAAGAGCCTCGTCTCAACAGAAGCATAATGTGCATATTAACACTAGATACTGGTAAACATCATATAGACTTTAGCTTTAAAATTTATTCACAACCCCGTCAAGGCTCATGCTTCAAGGTTTTTCACTACTAAGTTAGGAAAGTGTCTTTCCAGACTGAATAAGATAATTTTAATTTATGAAAACGAGACATCTTCAAAAATAAAAAATATTCCCTTGAATTTAATTTTTATGCTATTTTTTTGTAATTATCAAATGCTACAGATAAAAATAAACGGAGTGCAAAAACTGTAAAACAAAAAGGGACCATGTTTGTATCCGTATGAAATTATAAATATCTCTCACCAGCAAGCCGAAAGCGATGATCGCGAAGATTCTCATTGTGTCAAACAGTCGTCTAATTGTTGCCAGTCGTTTTTTAAGATTCAGTTCGCCTCAGGTTCCGCAGTCAGTGCACAGGTAACGCGCGCGCACATCTGAAGAGAAGTGGTGCTTTGTACACGCGACCCAACTCATGATTAATGTAGGGTAACACATTCGGCGAAGGACGAAGGACAACTCGTTTAGTACATACACGTAAATATAAATTCGGTTTTTAGTACCTACTCATAAACTATAAAATAATAGCAATAAAATGGCATAATAACAAGACTTTAATACATAAACGTGATGCAAACGCGTGAGCTTCAAGCGTATAATTGATAAATAAACAGTACCCAATAATTTTATTTGAAATAAGAGCTGATAAAATTCGCGTATGTTTTCATGTTAGTGAAAGTTATACATAATTAAGTGTTTCTAATTGCTTCTTAATCTTAAAATAATTAAAATTTTTTAATGGCCAAGAGCATGTTGAAATAACTGGTTTCTTTCCAATCCGTGAAATTTATGACTAATTTGTATATATACAACAAAATAATTTTTTCGTGTCTGACCATATCAGTCAAATACTTTAAAATACGACTTGGTGAAATTCGTTTTTCAATACGATTAAAGAATTTTTTGAGAAACATTTTAGCGTATAATGCATGCAAATTTTATGTGATATTAGAATGTTGACGTTTTATCATCAAAATAGGAAACCCGACAGTTTTACTCGACAGACAATACATAATACAATAACAACATATAATTATTGATCTTCAATTTTAGAGATTTATATAGACTTTATTAGATTTTTAATCATAACCGATTACTTTGAAACTAATGTTTCGAAAACAGCTTTTTTATTATCATTTGATAACAAGTTTAGAAGACTTTCCGCTAAGCATTTGAATGAGTCATGTGAAGTGGGTAAGTGGTAGCTTAGCATTCCGCAAGAAACAAGTATTTGTAAGAAATACTATATATATATATATATATATATATATATATATATATATATCAATTATTTTTTACATTAGTAAGCGAAATACCACTGACTACTAAAATAATCACGACATCTCTAAAACTATCACCCGATTGACTTGAAATTACTATAGTTACTCATTTCGTAATACTGGACACTCACAAAGAAAGGATTTTATGATAGTACCATCAAAAACATATTTCTTAATATTTTATATCTAGGTTCCGCAATATATAAGCGAGCGGGTATCAGCTAGTAGTGTATATGTGCAATTTAGATATAGTGCTTTTTATGTTTTAATTGATCATATATAGTGCCGTGTAGCAACAACGTAAAGGAATCCACTGCCATGTATCATACAGTGGATTTCGTTAGAGGGTGAACTGTCCGTCAGTCCCAGTCAACGTAAATACTCGTAATAAAGGTGGTAATGGAGAAGATAACAAGGTTACAATATTAGACTTTTAAGTACGTAGGTAAAAAGTCTAGATCAAACACATAATTCTAGTTTTTATTTCACATCGATCGGTGCACTATTACCGAAGTTAAAAGCGTGGAAAGTTTACGTACATTTTTAAAATCTCGCCCGTGCCCGCTTGTAGCGCGTGACGTCATTGATTCCATGCGGCCGCGCCGCCATACCGTTCCAGCGCGCCGATCATACGTTTGTAGTAATATTTGACGGGTGAGTTGTTTGCCCTCGTGCGTTCTGGTGTTTTTAAGTATTTAATGATGGAAGAAGGGTTTCAAAAGGGTCAATCTGACAACCTTCCAATAGTCCGTGACATGATGGTGGCAGAATATTTTCTAAGAAACAAAGATTTTGACGCGGCTGAAATACGCATAAGAATAAGATAATATTTTTATAACATAGGTACTCACTATTACATTAATACTTCTGGGTTTCATTTGCTAACGATAAGAATAGGTATAACAAAAATACGTAAACATTCCTTACCTACCTACTTACTATCTACCTCTAACTAGTTTTGTTTTCTCTTCTTAAGTGCACCCTGACCTTTTTGTGGTTTTTATGGTTCAAAAAATTTCCTGTTGTTTATAAAGAAATTTACTACAAATATACCTTCGGTGTATAAAAAATAAAAATATGATTTTATCTAAAAATAAGATGTTTTCAATATTAATAGAAAAAGGGTCGCATTATTATTATGATTAAAAGCGTAGTTATATATTCTTTAGGCAAGGGATCAATCTCAATATTATCATCTAGAGTAGTAACAGGATCGACAACATATCTATGCTCAATTTCTTGTGAAGTTGTGGAAATCGCATGTGCAACTGTTTCTAACCTAGATTTGGCATTTAGTTTTGATAGTAAACATCTTTGTGGTTTTTCTGTACACCAATTTTGACAAGCAAACTTGTGAGGCAAAACATCTTTTTAAGTTTGAGGGGACCACCAACTAGTTTGTACTTCACGTAGTTTTCCATATCGTTTTCGACCTAGAACAAAATACAAACTTATTTAAAGTCTATAAAAAAATAAGGGACCTCGTAATTAGTATTATATCAATATTTAAAATATGTACCAACTATGTAATACATAAAAATAGGACAACACGAAAAATAATTCAAGTGCTCCACTTCATAATCAAACTTCTTCCATTATTTGCGGCCCGCAAAGTATGAGGTGAACTGTGTTTACTTTTTGCTCGAAATATCGTAAAAATATAAAAACGTTTAACATATGTTCCATATTTTAACTTTTATATGCATTACTTATAAGCATTTTAAAATTTGCTGCAAACATAGGTTGCAAACATTTTAACTTACGGACTCACGACAGGTCATTGACTTATCTACATTACATAGGTAAGTACTTTATTCTTATCCAACTGTGACGAACCCTTAGAAGAATGATTTGTGATCGCAGACGCATAGGTTCTGATGGTTGTCATCTGGCTGAATATTTAACGTTCTGTAAGCAGGTTAGGAAACCGCATTTTTTTATTATTTTTCATATTTTTATTTACTTTTTATCAGGACGGAAGATTTTTATTACGGACGACATAAGAGTATACCATTCTTTTATTTACCATTATTTTCAGTAAGACTCCTTTTATGTCTGGAAGTCCCCCTGTTTCTAGTCTCTTACCAATTTTTACTGTCAAGCAGCAGTACCTGCACTGCTGTGTTTCGGTCTAAATTGTAAGAGAATCAGTATAATTACATGTTGTAAGGAATTTTATTTTAGTCTTTGTAACTTGGCTTGTCACTTCCATATTATAAAATCAGCTCCTGACACGGATTCATGTTATTTAAATTTTTGGGCCATTAGAAACATCACAGATAGTGAATTATCTCAAACCCATAAATAGATTCGTATATAAACAAAATATGTAAGCATAGGATCATAAGGAACAGACGACGATGCAGGCTCCGATTGTGTGGAACATCAGCAATCACCAACCTTGTGAATGCTGGTGTTCCACAAGGCTGCTTGCTATCGCCTGTTCCTTCTAGATAGAAACTAGTAACATTCATTTGTTATGCAAATGAAAATACCAACTGGCGAAGTTTTATAGAGCGAACGTGCTTATATTTCTCGAGAACAAGTCGTCGAGTGCCGGAACAAACTTGTTTTTAAAGTTGAGTCTTTGTTAAGCAAAATGGATTTAGACTTTGTTTATTTAAACTTCGTTTAACAAAGTGTTCTTCTAGGCATGACATAGATTTGAGCGTTTACTTTGTCGTATCTCCTCAATTTCATTGCAATTCTCTTGATGCCCCAGCCTACATGCTGTTATAATCCTCGGCGGTGACACATCGAATGACTATCAGTTCCGCGTTCACCTGGAAGGAAGGCCAAATTAGCCAAAACTTGACATATTTTGCATATAATTTTGAATATATTTTTAATATTTTGCACATAATCTCTGTAGGTTTTATCTTGTACTGCAATATCCTATTCATTTCCTGGTGCCCTTGCATGGCATGTGAGAAACTTAAGATGATTCATCTTCGGATGATCGATTCAGTTCTTCAGTTCGGACAATTCCAGAGGCTAAATTTCACCATCGCACATCGCGACATAATTCGCAATACTATCCACTTCATGTGCGCGATTGGCGGTCCTCAGTCTTCTTCCTCACAAAACTTCTTTGTGAGATCGGCTACTACCAACGAATTTTCTGGACCGATACGACTAAGGGACGTTTAAGAAAAGAGCTTACTCTCTTTCAAAAGGCCTGGAAATTACCTTCAATTTCCCGGGTGTTGTAGTTGTTCATGAGCGGTAGTCACTTACCATAAGGTGAGCCATATGCTCGTTTTCACACTCTTATTTAAAAAAAAAAAAAAACAAAGTTTTATTTAAGCTTCAGAGGATTTTATTGAAGAAAACTTAGATAGGTTATTATAACCTACAAAAACGGACTACTAGGTAGAAAAGCAGGCCAAATTAGCCAACCACATAGATTTGGAGATGATTTATATTTAATATATTAGATATATAATGTATTTAAATATCGATAACAGCTTATTATATAAGTCACCTTATTGGTTGCAGCGAACGAGGGTCCTGAATCGTCACACTTCGGTTATATACAAACGCTATCAACAAATCCCTTATAATAAACTTAAGAATTCAGCAAATTTCACTGTAGCCTTTATGTACAAGAAATTAAAAATAATTATCCATCTACTAATAATATAATATACATTATCCTAAAATTTTCAAAAACCGCTGGTCACCCTATACAGCCAACCTTAACGCGTGCCTATCTATTCGTGATCGGGAAATCAATGAAATGCATCAAGACACTCATTCATTAAAATTATCAGGGTATTATGAAATATATTTCGGTGAAGGAAAGCGACGTAAGGAAACGTACATATTTATGTAATAACAATCTTTTAAAGGCTCTAGTAATTAATTTCCACTCATACTGAAGCGTTTACTTGTTTATAAAACTATAATTACTCGTTTTAAAACAGTTATCTATTAGTAAAGATAACTGTTTTAAAACGAGTAAAAAGCGATACTCGCTTAAGGTCAAAATTCGTAACCAAC